AAAGCAGATAAATACCACTTGGAACCGTTGATAACGGAGAGAGTGCATGTTGCGACCGCCAGGTGGCTTGTTGCACGTGTAAACTCATGTTCTGGTCAGAGGATAGCAGACAGACTAAGAATGTTTCCTTCTCAAACATTATGGTCTGTAGCTGTGACGAGATATAGAGCTTGTTATCTTCTGGAGGGTTATGATGGCCTATCTTCTGGAGGGTTATGATGGCCTATCTTCTGGAGGGTTATGAAGGCCTATCTTCTGGAGGGTTATGATGGCCTATCTTCTGGAGGGTTATGATGGCCTATCTTCTGGAGGGTTATGATGGCCTATCTTCTGGAGGGTTATGATGGCCTATCTTCTGGAGGGTTATGATGGCCTATCTTCTGGAGGGTTATGAAGGCCTATCTTCTGGAGGGTTATGAAGACCTATCTTCTGGAGGGTTATGAAGGCCTGTCATCTTCTGGAGGGTCATTAAGACCTGTCAACTTCTGGAGGGTCATTAAGACCTGTCAACTTCTGGAGGGTTATTAAGACCTGTCAACTTCTGGAGGGTCATTAAGACCTGTCAACTTCTGGAGGGTCATTAAGACCTGTCAACTTCTGGAGGGTCATTAAGACCTGTCAACTTCTGGAGGGTTATTCAGACCTGTCAACTTCTGGAGGGTTATTCAGACCTGTCAACTTCTGGAGGGTTATGAAGACCTGTCAACTTCTGGAGGGTTATGAAGACCTGTCAACTTCTGGAGGGTTATTCAGACCTGTCAACTTCTGGAGGGTTATTAAGACCTGTCAACTTCTGGAGGGTTATTAAGACCTGTCAACTTCTGGAGGGTTATTAAGACCTGTCAACTTCTGGAGGGTTATGAAGACCTGTCAACTTCTGGAGGGTTATGAAGACCTGTCAACTTCGGGAGGGTCATTAAGACCTGTCAACTTCTGGAGGGTTATTCAGACCTGTCAACTTCGGGAGGGTTATTCAGACCTGTCAACTTCGGGAGGGTCATTAAGACCTGTCAACTTCTGGAGGGTCATTAAGACCTGTCAACTTCTGGAGGGTTATTCAGACCTGTCAACTTCCTTGAGGGTCATTAAGACCTGTCAACTTCTGCATTGTAACCATTAATAATGACTCTCACCATCACCACCATGTCATGAAGCCGTCTCACTATCACCACTATCTCTGTCTTCCATCATCTGTTTTTAAGAAATCTTCCTTCCCCGCAAGATTCCCCTCCTCCCTACATCCTCTGCCTTTCGCTTCACCTTAACGCCAATTTCTCTCTCCCCTCCTTCCTTCCCTACCTTTTCACCCCTTTCGTTCTTGCCTCTCCCCCTGTTGCACCTGATCCCAGGGTGGCTGAGTCCTGAGTATGCTCTGAGGGAGCATACTTTCTCTTTTTGAGGGAGCATACTCAATAATCCTCCCTCTCTCTCTCTCTCTCTCTCTCTCTCTCTCTCTCTCTCTCTCTCTCTCTCTCTCTCTCTCTCTCTCTCTCTCTCTCTCTTCCCGAACACCCTGTTATTCCCTCTCTTCCCTCACCATCACCCCTGTTCTTCCCTTCTTTGTCTCTAACGAGGTGATTTTGTCAACAAACGAGGAAATATTGCGTCTAAAGCATGGTTGATCCTGCGTCTTAGAGAACCTCCTTTTGAGACTTTTTTTGACATCATTTTGAGTCATTTTGAGTCATTTTGAGGCGTAATGAGTAGCCCCTCTCTCGATGGTGAGGTAGACATGTTAATTGTGAGGTAGACTTCACTCCTCCCCCTCCTTCCCCTTTTAATATTCAGAGACTTAATTTGTAACCAATTATTATTAAACAATAAATTATTAAAAGTTCAAATAACTTTCATGCCTTACATGTTTACATAAATTTACATAAATTGGTATAGGAAGAGACGCAGAATGGCTGCCAAACAAGAGTGGTCGCACGTTTGTAGTGGTCGTAGTAATGAGCTTAACTTTCCTTGGCTCTGTGAGTCTCTGTGAGTCTCTGTGAGGCTCTGTGAGTCTCTGTGAGTCTCTGTGAGTCTCTGTGAGTCTCTGTGAGTCTCTGTGAGGCTCTGTGAGGCTCTGTTCACTGCTTCAGTGTTGAGGACATTTTGTGAGGGCAGACTCTGCTGCCTCTGAGGTGTCTCTAAGGGTGTGAAAATGTTTGCAGGTAAAATAGCTCTCATTTCATATTTTTCCTCTGGGTGTGTGTGTGTGTGTGTGTGTGTGTGTGTGTGTGTGTGTGTGTGTGTGTGTGTGTGTGTAATTGGGTGTAGGTTTGCTATTTGTGCCTGCAGGATTCAGCAATTAGCTCTTGTCACCTGCCTTCATAAGCGTAGTTTGGCTAATGTACTGAATCTCTACCTATTTTCACTCTCATCTATAATACATATTTTTCTCTTTTACACACACACACACACACACACACACACACACACACACACACACACACACACACACACACACACACACACACAAAGGCGAGACACTGGATACCGAATGGGAGATGAAGTCCTTCACGAACCGGACAGAAAGATCTAGAAGTTGATATCACGCCAAACCTGTCTCCTGAACCTACATTAAAAGAATAACATCAGTGGCGTATGCGAGGCTGGCTAACATCAGAACTGTCTGCAGAAACTGGTGTAAAAAATCATTCAGACCCTTGTATACCACATATGTAAGGCCAATCCTGGAGTATGCGGCCCCAGCATGGAGCCCGTACCTTGTCAAGCACAAGACGAAGCTGGAAAAAGTTCAGAGGTAGGCCACTAGGCTAGTCCCAGACCTAAGAGGCATGAGTTATGAAGAAGGGCTGCGTGAACTGTACCTCACGTCGCTGGAAGACAGAAGAGCTCGGAGAGGCATGATCATCACATAAAATATTCTCGGGAATTAATAGGGTAGATAAGGATGGATTATTTAACACTGGTGGTACACGCACAAGGGGACACAGGTGAGAGCTGAGTACCCAAATGAGCCACAGAGACATTAGAAAGCACTTTTTCAGTGTCAGAGTAGTTAGTAAATGGAATGCACTAGAAAGAGATTTGGTGGAGGCTGACTCCATACACAGTTTCAAATGTACATATGATAGAGCCAAGTAGGCTCAGGAACCTGTACACCTGTTGACTGACGGTTGAGAGGCGGAGCCAAAGAGCCAAAGCTCAACCCCCAGAAGCAAGCTAGGCGAGTGTACACACACGATGACCTAGACAACCTTCAGAGGTGGTCTGACAAATGCAAGGTTATCAGGATAGGAGTTAGAGCAAGAAGACCTCAAATACACTACAGGGCAAAGGGAAGACAACTTCAAACTTCTGAAAACGAGAGAGACTCAGGATTGGACATAACTGGAGATCTCTCACCAGAGGCACTCATCAGCATAATAACGAGGCAACCCGTTTTCGCACTTTCGTATAGTCAATATTGACTTATTAAATACGTGCGTATGAGACATACTAAACATACTAGTTTACCTTGAAAAGCTTCATAGAAAACACCGACCTTACCTAACCTTCTTAGTATGTTAAGCATCTTATTGCTTCGTAATTACAATTATTACTTAACCTATTATAGATATAGGTTAAATAATAATTGTAATAATTGCTTATCTTAGGTAAGGTCGGTGTTTTCTATGAAGCTTTTCAATGTAAACTAGTATGTTTAGTATGTCACATATGCACGTATTTATTAAGTCAATATTGACTGTAAGAAAGTGCGAGGACGGGTTGAACGAGGGCAGCATATGCTATATACTGGCAAACGTCCGGTTATCCTTCAGCAATTTGGACAAAGATATCTTCCGAGCGCTGAATACATCCATTGTGAGACATTACTGAGGGCAGCCCCAGCATGGAATCCTCTAAGTAAAGAAGCAAAAAACTAAATTTGAAAGTAAAAAAATACTTGAAAGTAAAAAAATACTATAAAAAAAGAAAGAAAATAAAAAAATTTGAAAGTAACAAGGCTCGTTCCTGAACTAAGGAGACTGAACAGTGAAGAAAGTTTGAATGAACTGGGCCTACACTCTAGGACAGGAGGAACAGAGCAGACATGATAACGAAGTACATAATACTAAAGGCAGTTGGCTGTTTTTGGCCAGTCCTCTGCTGAGTCCAGGACTTTTTCTAAGTAGATTTTCCAGTCACCGAAACCTTCGTCTACGGTTTCGTTGATGTGGATTCAGTGATGAGGAGGCAGAGGATTGTCGGGTATTACAAAGATTGTAGTTAGGTCTATCTGGATGGAGGAGAGAGAGACAGAGAGAGAGACACACAGAGAGAGAGAGAGAGAGACACACACAGAGAGAGAGAGAGACACACACAGAGAGAGAGAGAGAGAGAGAGAGAGAGAGAGAGAGAGAGAGAGAGAGAGAGAGAGAGAGAGAGAGAGAGAGAAAGTTGCAAGGAAAGCCTGTATTGGACGGCTGCCGGTTTTGACGGAAATCCATTACGATATGAGATACATCTCGGCATTCGTTTTTCCTTCTCCTCCTCATCTTCTCTTCCTACTCTCTTTATCTTAACCTTAATCTCCTTATCTCCAACTTTCATTTTGGTATTTCCATCACTTTCGTCTTCATTCTGGTCTTAATTTCCTCTTGAAATAATATTTCTTCACTGCCCAACCGTACTTCTCTACTCCCTCCCTCCCTCTCCCTCCATACCTCTACTCTCCCTCTCCCTCTCCCTCCTTCCCTCCGAAGACAGCAACAAGATGCGGATCGTTTAAGAAAGCTTGTTCAAGTTCTCCATCAGGTGAGAGGTCTTGGCTGTCATCGTGCGGGTTGTTAGTGGCTGTTGTTGACTATCGGAGGGTTCCGAGCGGGATTGGCCAACATGCTGGTAGCAGTTCAGGATAATATATTAGAGCGTCTGGGCCTATAGCTTGGAGAAGTTATAGGCCCTCGGGGCTTGTACGCTCCTGTTGTGGGTGTGTGAGGGTGGGTGGGTGTGTGTGTGTGGTGCGTTTGAAAACACGACCAGGTGCATGGAAGGGAGGTGGTTCTTAGGTGCTTTGCTTGGCAGGGTTGCGCTTGACAGAGTGGCGCTTGGCAGGGTGGCGCTTGGCAGGGTGGCGCTTGGCAGGGTGGCGCTTGGCAGGGTGGCGCTTGGCAGGGTGGCGCTTGGCAGGGTGGCGCTTGGCAGGGTTGCGCTTGGCAGGGTGGCGCTTGGCAGGGTGGCGCTTGGCAGGGTGGCGCTTGGCAGGGTGGCGCTTGGCAGGGTGGCGCTTGGCAGGGTGGCGCTTGGCAGGGTGGCGCTTGGCAGGGTGGCGCTTGGCAGGGTGGCGCTTGCCAGGGAGATTTTTTTGGGTAACACTTAAGTTTTCGATTTACTTCGATGATATATTCGTTTGACAGATTGGTTGCCTGATGACTTATTGCCATTTTATAGGATGACTGATTGACTGTGATTGGTTATTCGATTACCTGGCTAAAGTGGTTAAATGACCGGAATAGTAAATGAAACGTGATTGGGCAATGCCGCAGACTCTGTCTACCTTGTCGACTGGTTCACCTCACCGCCACACCTCACTAAGTATAATCTACGTTACTTTGTCACCTCACTTTTATGTCTCCAAAATCCACTTTTCTTCATCTTAATTTCTAACTCCTCACTTCACCTGGATTCACCTCAACTCGGCCTATTTCTCATTTCATGTCACCTCTCGTTACATCTCGCCTTATTTCAAGCCACTATATATATTCCAATTAGCTATTTCATAACTAAATTAAATTATTTTCCAAGCATGTGAATGTGGGAGTGGGTTTCAGCTCACTGATTGATTGATAGAGATTGAGCCACCCAAGAGGTGGCACGGGCATGAATAGCCCGTAATCCAGTTCATTGTTTGAGTGATATATATGAGGGAGTAATGTTAATATTAACATTTTATCCTTCCCTCACCCCCCTTCACTCACTTCTCCTTCTCTAACTCACACCCCCCCCCCCTTTTCTCACCCCCCCCTTTTCTCGCCCCCCCCCCTTTTTCTCCCCCCCCCCCCCTTTTCTCACCCCCCCCCTTTTCTCACCCCCCCCCTTTCTCACCCCCCCCTTTTCTCACCCCCCCCCTTTTCTCACCCCCCCCTTTTCTCACCCCCCCCTTTTCTCACCCCCCCTCACCCCCCTTTCTCACCCCCCCTTTTCTCACCCCCCCTTTTCTCACCCCCCCCCTTTTTCTCACCCCCCTTTTTCTCACCCCCCCTTTTCTCACCCCCCCTTTCTCACCCCCCCTTTTCTCACCCCCCCTTTTCTCACCCCCCCTTTTCTCACCCCCCCCTTTTCTCACCCCCCCTTTTTCTCACCCCCCCTTTTTCTCACCCCCCCCCTTTTCTCACCCCCCCTTTTCTCACCCCCCCCTTTTCTCACCCCCCCCTTTTCTCACCCCCTTTTCTCACCCCCCCTTTTCTCACCCCCCCCTTTTCTCACCCCCCACCCCCCCCCTTTTATCAACCCCCCCTCTTTTCTCACCACCTCCTCTCACCCCCTCTCCCCTATTCATCACAAGGTGATAGCTTAAAAAGCATTTACATGAGATTACATTTACATTGTTATTATAAGGTTTATTTAACCCTGGCCATATTGTTGAGAGTGCAAAGGGGGGGGAGGGGGAAGGCAATGTGCATTTTCTCTTCTTCAGCCTTTAAGCAGTTTGAACTAATTTTTATAAATAAGATTTTATCTGTTGTTTTAGATACGTGGAGAAAAATCCAGGAATTGTCGATTTTTAATCTGGCTTTGGATTAAAGATAGTTATTAAAGATAGTTATTAAAGATAGTTATAAAGCTTGTTATTGATTAGTCACGTCTATCACTAAATCAGCAGTTTATCATTGCTAAGTAACCAGTTGATGACCTTAGACTATAAGTTATCAATTTGTAAAAATTAGGTAAAAATTACATAAAACGTACATATGAAGCTTAATCATTTTCCTGACAGTATCAGGATTTATTGCAATTAAATACAGGGCTGAATATATATATATATATATATATATATATATATATATATATATATATATATATATATTTATATTTATATATTATATTTTAATTTGTCTTTTTTTCAGGTCAGTTATCAAATGACACAGCGCGTGAACATTAATGCTATCTTCCCCAATATGTTAAAAGCAACTGGCGTGGAAAAAAAAATATATAATCTCGCTTTTCAATTACACCGGCCCTGATTTAGCACCTCATTTTAACACACCCCAAAAAAAAAAGGTTTTAAAAACACACTTCTGGCCAACCCTGCTCATTTTTGTGGGAATAAATATGACGCGGGTGTTTAATATTACCTAACACGTGTGAGTAATGCGTTTTGTGCAACGTTGACACTTCAACGTTTTTGCTAATGTATGTTACGTTGTCACTTCAACGTTTTCTGTTTTGTGTAATAAAATGTTTTGGGGAGGATAGGTTTTGGAGGACTTTTGGATTAGGTTAGGTGGGCTATTTAGATTTGCTCAGGTTTGGAAGGTTGGTTAGGTTGGGTGCACTGGTTAGGTTATGTGGGTTGGTTAGATTTGCTCAGGTTATGTGGGTTAGTTAGATTTGGTTAGACTGGGTGCACTGGTTAGGTTATGTGGGTTAGATTTGGTTAGGTTATGTGGGTTGGTTTGATTTGGTTAGGTTATGTGGGTTGGTTTGATTTGGTTAGTTTGGGTGTTCTGGTTAGGTTATGTGGGTTGGTTGAATTTGGTTAGGTTATGTGGGTTGGTTAGATTTGGTTAGGCTCGGTTCGGTGGGTTAGGTTAGGTATGCCAAGTGATATATATTCTACCCTGAGGAATAATTCAGCTTTCTCAAAATACGTGGAATACAAAGTCTCTTGCGAGTGACTTGAAGTTACTTGTGAGTAGCTCATGAGAGATCTGTGGTTACTTGTGAGTAACTTGAGGGTTGAGTACACTTAGCGTTATGTTCATTTATGTTCTGCTTTACACTAACGTCTTTTAGAGTGCGTCATACTTAGTTATATTTAACCTTAAGTCATATTTTTACGCAAATGTACCTCTGTCTTATCTACGTACATTGTCTCTCTTGCGTCATATTTATACGCATGTTGCCTTTGCGCCATATTTATGCGTAATATGTACCCTGCGTCACATTAGTGCGTATTATACCTTGTGTATTAATCTGTATTATACCTTGCGTCATATGCGTATTCTACCTTGCGTCATATGCGTATTATACCTTGCGGTAATTTATGGGTATTCTTCCTTGCGTCATATGCGTATTCTACTTTGCTTCATATGTGTATTATGCCTTGCGTCATATGCGTATTATACTTTGCGTCATATGCGTATTATACCTTGCGTCATATGCGTATTATACCTTGAATCATATGCATATTATACCTTGCGTCATATGCGTATTATACCTTGCGTAATGTGCGTATTATACCTTGCTGTAATTTATGCGTATTATACCTTGCGTCATATGCGTATTGAAAATATAATAATTTATATGTGTTGTAAATCGAGTCAAATACATAATTAAATGCACCTGCGTCATATTTATACGCAACCCACCAGGCTTCCTTCCGTTAGCGACACATGGGTTTCTTTGTCGATAGATCTTTGAGCGATACATCTATCATTCAAGTGATAGATGTGAATGATAGATGAATACCGTGAAGATGAATGATATACAATCCATAAACAGGGCGGGCGCGCTTGCTGGCACACGCCTTTAGTAAATTTATTATTCAGAGGTGGAAGAGAGGTTTAGAATCGACTGACAAAGCGTGTGCGAGTTGAACCGGTTCCTGGAGCTTCCATATTTTGCTTCCGTGGGTTTAACTGGCCGTCTTCTGAAGCTCCGTTCATTTTCCAACCATCGTACTGGAGTTCGTCTTGGTCGTTCGGAAGATCTGTCCGTCATTTTCGAACGCCGAACTCCTCTTTACTTCCCAGAAACAATTAAAAACGGAGTTTTGGCACTTTTAGTCCTCAATACTGCAGTGTTCTCCAAGTAGCTTGGGCTCCATGGAGAACCTGGGCTTCTTGGAGAACCTGGGCTTCTTGGAGAACCTGGGCTTCTTGGAGAACCTGGGCTTCTTGGAGAACCTGGGCTTCTTGGAGAACCTGGGCTTCTTGGAGAACCTGGGCTTCTTGGAGAACCTGGGCTTCTTGGAGAACCTGGGCTTCTTGGAGAACCTGGGCTTCTTGGAGAACCTGGGCTTCTTGGAGAACCTGGGCTTCTTGGAGAACCTGGGCTCCTAGGAGAACCTGGGCTCCTAGGAGAACCTGGGCTCCTAGGAGAACCTGGGCTCCTAGGAGAACCTGGGCTCCTAGGAGAACCTGGGCTCCTAGGAGAACCTGGGCTCCTAGGAGAACCTGGGCTCCTAGGAGAACCTGGGCTCCTAGGAGAACCTGGGCTCCTAGGAGAACCTGGGCTCCTAGGAGAACCTGGGCTCTTAGAAGAACCTGGGCTCCTCCTGGCCTCCAAGAAGGCACCCCCACTCGAAGGTTCGTCACACTTGGGGGGGCTTCATGGATGTTGTGGAACCGAGGCTCCGGAACGACCCCATCCGAGCCTGTAAACCATCCCGGAGCTTATTACCGATTCAGCCTCAAAACCCCGGGTGTAAGACATAATGCCGGAGGTAACCCCAGGCATACATTAGCTGACTCCGGCCCCCCAGGCACCACCCCACCTGCCTTACTTCCCTTGCACCCCACACACACACACACACACACACACACACACACACACACACACACACACACACACACACACACAAATGTGGTGGAGGCTGACTCCATACACAGTTTCAAGTGTAGATATGATAGAGCCCAATAGGCTCAGGAACCTGTACACCTGTTGATTGACGGTTGAGAGGCGGGACCAAAGAGCCAGAGCTCAACCCCCGCAAGCACAAGTTGGTGAGTACACACACACACACACACACACACACACACACACACACACACACACACACGGACGAAGTGTGTGAAAGGCTACAATGTGTAGATAGCACTAGGGAAGAACAAAAGCTTTAAG